AAGAAAATATATCATTATCCTTATCCCCACCTACATATATATCATTTTATTATTATTTCCAAGTCAAATGATCATTTTTCCCTTTAATTCTTTTAATAATTACTGATAACTCTTCAAGAATTATTTTTAAATAAGTCATTGAACTATTCAACTTTTCCACTTTAATCACCAAATTCTAAAATTTTATAATTTAATCACTAACTCGTAATTTGGGATGTTACACCTTATTTCAATTTAATCCATAAATTTCATTTATTTTCAATTTAAACATTATTTTGTTTTATAATAATTATAAATAGGTATCGTAACCCACTTCTTTTGTTTTGCAATGTTTTAATTACATTTACTATTATTATTTTATTTATTTATTTGTAAACATTAATTTTATTTATTTAATGGAATCCAATCAAACTTCAAATGAACTTCAAAGGTAAAAATTCATATAGATTTTAATCTTAATTTTCACGATTAAGACAACTCGATAGTCGATTGGTACCGAAAGAACGATTCGAGGGTGCTAATCTTTTCTCAAATGTAAACGACTCCCGAATCTAACAAATATTTGGTAAAACGTAGATCCAATAAACAATAAGTTCGAGGTGTCCGATCTACCTATTTCAAAAATGATTGATGGCGACTCCATAACACTCAATCCAAATCGGAACACGAACCCGAGACCGCCCGAAGAATTGCAACACAATGATGACGAGTTCTTCAATCTCTCATAAAGAAATTTAAAACATAATTAAATGGGCAAAAATATATTTCTAATATATTTGATAAAATCATTTCTTATTTTGATTATTTCAAAACATTATTTTCTACGTTTTAGTTTTTTTATATTTTATATAATTTTTCTATTAATAATGTTGGGAAGTGATAATAACATATTTCATTTTTGCCGTCTTAAATAGAGGGAAGAATTTTACTAATTTCTCTATCACTATCCTAAGTAGGGATATACACGAGGTTTGAATTTGATGAATTTAAATTTGACTTGACAATGAAATAATGTAGTTCTAAATTATATATTTAGGCATAGTTTTAATTACACCCCATCTCTATATTATTTGTTTCTAATTAGATCACTATTATTTTTTTAATAAAACCAATATTTTTTTATAAATTTATTTATCTCAGGTCGGGTCTGGTTGAGTTTGAATTTTTTTTCTCAAAATGATGGGTTGAATTCAAATCAAGTAAAGTCTGTTGGAAGCGTAGATGGGCTCACGATAATTTATAACTCAAACTTTTTATTGATACAAAACAAAATACGTTACAATGACACTACCTCAATATTACAATACTGCAATACTAGCTGCTGCTAGTTTACAAACTCACAAATATAACTTTGCTAAGCTCTCTATATTTTCTCTAATTTTTCCTCACTTCTCACTCGTATTTTTCTTTCACTTACTCACACACAAACTAAAAGCTAAACACACACACACACATATATATATATATATAGGTTATATAACCGACTTAACTTGCTTCTAAATTATTCGAGCTGGCGTGATTGAATTCCTCAAAGATTTAAAGACTTTTTTAGACATTGATATTTTAATTGCAACTTTGGATTTTCTTGCCGACAACCATACTTTGTTTTCCACATTGCCACGTTGAATTCAATTTTTAATTTGCTATTGTTTTGTTTATTGCCACCTTTCAATTCTTCAAAATATCTTTGCCACGTTTTATTACTCAATAATTGAGTTTGATATCCAACAAAGTCACCCTAAATTCGGATCAAATTTCAAGTGAATAGTACATATTTTTCGAGTTAGATCAAATTGATCGAAAATTTGATCTAACCCGACCCATGCTCGTTACTAATCCCTAGTGATGAGAAATTCTTCTCATCTAACCAGTTAACCGTTCTTTTAAAAAAACGAATGAAAAAATTGGTAGTTTAACAATTTCTTAGTCTAGGGTGAAATTATGTCAAAGGTGAAAGATAAATAATTTACCAACATATTAAATTATTAATCTTAGCTTTGTAGCATTGAAGTTAGGTTCAAATTCTATCATCCTTTCCCTATACCTTGCTTAGTGCACCACAAATTTTCCCTCAAAAGTGTATTAAGCTATAAGCTGAATTACGACTCACATGATATTATAGTTCCATTATTCCTTCATCATTTAAATAAAGAATCAAATTTGGATTAAATAGAAACATATATTTTCAATATATATATATATAAATTAATATTCAAATATATTACCTAAGTCTAAACCTAACTAATTATTTGAATTGTATAGTAAATATAAAAAATTAAAACATTTTGATAAAGATCGAGAAAAAAATATAATTACCTCTCTACTATTCATATTTTTTTATGAAAATAAATATTTTGACATCAATCAATGATATTTAATTATTGGCTGTGATTCTTTATCATGATAGAAAGAGATAAATTATCTATAATCGTCACAACTTATGTATTCTCATAAATAACTTCTAAAATATTTTATTCAAAAAATATGTTTTTATTGATCTTAAATGGTTACAAGGTAACATTTATTTAATTTTTAATCATTTTTTTAATCAATTAACAATGAAAGCACTTACGTCTAGGCCTGTAAATGAACTGAACGAATATGAACGAGTCATTCGTTTAACTTTAACCGAACAAATGAACGAACACAAACATAAACTAATAAAAATTTTATTGTTCGTGTTCGTTCGTTAAGGAATGTAGCTTGTTCGTGTTTGTTCATGTTCGTTCATTTAAATGATAATCGAACACAAATGAACGAACATAAACGAACGGATGTAAACGAACACAATAAATGAACGTAAACGAACACAAATGAACAAACGCAAACGAACACAATAAATGAACGTAAACAAACATAAATGAACGTAAACGAACATAAATGAAAATATTTTTTTATTTCATATCAATTTTAGGATTATATTATATTTAATTGTTTTAAGCTTTTTTTATTTGTATTTAGAATTAATTGAATTTTAAAATATTTATGTATATCATATTAAAATTTATTGGACTTTAATATTTTAAATGAGTCTAGAGAGATTGGACTAAACATAAATGAACGCACATAAACGAAAGAATATAAATGGACATAAATGAACGAATATAAATGAACATATTACCGAACGTTCACGAATGTAAATTAATGAACGAGTCATCTGTTCATGTTCGTTCATTTAATTAAACGAACACAAAATATTGTTCATGTTAGTTCGTTTAATAAATAAACGATCTTTTCGCTAAACGGTTCATGAACGGTTTGCTAAAAGTTCGATTCATTTACAGGCCTACTTGCGTCTTTTAAAAATAATTATTTATACTCAAAATATCTAAAAAAAATAATATTACATTCTATCGTTAATAACAATTTTATTCAAAAATATTTTTTAAACACAGTACAAGAAAAAAACTTAATCAAATCGATATATTATTAAACAAAAGCAATGAACAAAGCATAAGTAGGAAAGGAGAGTGAAAGAGAGAGGAGCAATGAGATGTAACCCACCTTTACCGGTTCGGTCCCCAAGCTAAGATATTCCTCCACGTGACGATAATCAATAAAGAGTTAACCTTATCTATTAATGAAATGTAATACTTCAAATTCAAAGCCCACTCGCAACTCCGAAATCCCTGGACCACCAACCCCTCACCGTTCTTGGACTGAGCTTACCACTATACGCTCCTTAAACATACCATCTGTCAAGCAGTACTGGCGAGTAGAAAGTAATTCAAGCGAGTAGCCTGATTCGTTTAAGTTTTCAAAGAAGCGCCAAAACTGGCCGTTTGAAAATTTGAATTCAAACCGCGCTAGAACTGGCCGTTTGAAAAATTGAATCCAAATCGTCGATTCCAAGCCACTATTTTACCAGAAAACGAACAACATTCGTCTACTTTGAAAATCTCTGTTGCTACAGTTCTACTTGAACAGCTTTCCTCCATGAGAAACAAATTAGTATTTTCTTTTTAATTAAAAAAATCGATTTCCAGTTATATTTCCATTTGAATTTCTTTTCTTAATTATTGTTAAGAGATGGATTTTCATGGCATGAAGAGAAAGCAACTGCAGGCTTTGTGTAAAAAGCACGGCGTCGCTGCCAATTTAACCAACCGTGAAATGGCGGATCGTTTGGCTTCCATATTTAAGGTACCGTCTCTTTCATTTTATTTTCCTAAAAAAATTCATTTACTGTCAATTGGGAACCGAATCCATGAATTAAGGATAAATCTCGATCATGTGAAGAGTTTCATGTAACTTGTTCAGATTATGCAGAGACGGACTGTTTTGAGTTTCTCCAATGCTTTTCTTTAGATCGATAGATCTGAAAGTAATATTAAACGGGATGCATTGAAATCTAAATTTTGGTGATGTAATTTTCTTTTCTATGCTTTATTGCTCTTAAGCATTACAAGTTAGAAGTTTAAACACACTTTTTTTTTTCACTACTGGCCATTTAAGCAAAAGAAACAAATGTAAAAAGGAAACAATGTTTTTGAACCGCTTGATTAAACTGACAATTTAAATTTTATGGACGAAAACAGTACGATTGGATACATTTCGTTAGCTTTAAAGTTTAAACAATTATCTCTCTTTTTCGATAATTGATTTCCTTTGGAGATAAAAAAAATAGAAGCAAGTAGCACAATAAATATCTGTGGTTCAATGGTTTGAATCAATAATTATATTTAAGTTACTCAGGTATTTTATTCGTTCCCCCTGTTTTAAACAGGAAAGCGAAGAACCTGTTTCGTCAACATTGTTGAGCTCTAATCCAGAAGAAATATTGAGTGAAGACAAAGCTAATGCTGTCAAAAAGCAGATAAAGAAAGTCAGGTTTAGTCCTGACAATCAAACCATTGAGTATGAGGTTTCTGTCTATCGGCAGCCTAGAAGAAGGTCAAGGAGGCAAACATTGTCCAATAATCCTGCCCAGGTACTTGAAATACTGTAAGTGAAGAAAATAAAAGTTTGAGGGTTGCCAATCAAGAGCCACAAGGTCTAGAATGCAAAATGCAGTTGAAGAAGAAATACATATGGCTTCTTCGCCTCCTGCTGGGAGAAAGAGGGGGAGAGGGAGCAAGAAGATTAAAGATGCCGAGGTGATGACTAATATCGGTGATTCGGAGGGTTTAGAATTGGGTGAGAAAGAAGATGCCAAGAATGGTCATTATAAGGTTACTGGTGGGTTTAGTGGGAGACAGTTAAGAAGTAGGAAGAATGTGTCTCGGGATGATTCAATGAAGATAAAGAACGACAAAGGAAGTGACGAGGTTCATCCGTTGGATGAAAGTTCTGAAGGCATAAATGGCCGAAAGCAATCAACGAGGAATGCTAGGAAACGAGATCTGGGTGGGGCATTCAACAGTGACGTGGAAAAGGTTGAAGTTGTTTCTAGGGTGACACGGCAGTCCAGGGCACAATCCAAAGATGAAATTTCTATGGTTAAAAATGAAGTTAAAATAGTTGAGGCAATGGATGGAAATGAAACAAAGAAGCCTCTGAGACGAACAAAAAGTAATTCAGAAAAAGATAGTGATGGAAGTGCTGCATCTGTGAAAAGTGATGCTCAGGTAACAAAGGTTCAAGAACAATCTGAAAGAGATGTTGCACTCATGGAACCTCCAGAATGTTTAAGGAGATATTCTTCCAGGCAAAAATCTGGTGTATCTCAGAGTGGTAAGGGGGAAATAAGGGTGAATTTCCAAAAGAGGAGACCAGAAAACGAAGCAGGATTGCAGAATTGGAAGCTATTCTGGAAGATAGTAGTGAGGTTGAGAGGGACAAGTATGCGGTTATTTCACAACAGCAAGTTCCCTTGAGGAGGAGCAGGCGGAAGACTGTGATTATTTCTGCTTCAGCTGTTAAGTTGGCAAATAAGGAAGATATTGGTGAAATGAAGCACTTAATAGCACCACTTCTAGGGAAAGGCACGACCAAAGCATTGGATGCTATTGTGGAAGATGGTAGTGAGGTTAATAGGGCTAAGTATGCCGCGACTTCACAACACCAGGCCACCTTGAGGAGGGGCAGGCGCAAGACTGGGATTCTTACTGCTCCGGCTGTTGAGTTGGCAAATAAGGAAGATCAAATTGCTGTTTCCAAAAGTGATCAGGGGGTTAAGCAGCAAGTGCAAGAGCCTATTTTGGAAGAAGAAGAAACTTCTGCTCGTGATCATCCAATGAAACAGAAACCCCAAAGAAAATCCAGACATATTACTTCTAAAGGTGCCTCTGTTGCACCTTCTAATTCAACAGCCAAAGGTGTCAAGAAGAAACGGCAAAGCAAGTCTAGAATGGAGCTTGTAGAAGAGGAAGCTGCACCTACTGAGAATCTTCCATCTCCTGAAGAATTACCAGATGGAAAGGATGTGCAATTTGTTGTGTCAGAATGTGCAGGAGATAATCTTGATTTGGACGTTAGCAAACAAGTTGTCAACAGTGGTGATGCATGTTCTAACAAAAGCAGAAAGGAATTTAGAAGGAATTCTGGAGCGAAGCAGTGTGGATTTGCGGAGGCCTGTCCTATATTTCTTAACATGGAGGAAGACAAGGATTCTGCAGAAAATATGGAGGAAACTATTACTGCATCACCTGTGAAGTTGGTAGGCTCTTCTAAAGACCAAGAAAAGAAGCAGTATGCTCACAAATCTGTGGTGGTTTATGAGAAGGAAAGCAATATAGTAGAAGATGACGTAGAGAATTTAGTCAATGGCGGCAATATTGAGACTGAAGTGAATTGCATTTCAAGTCAGACTGTCAATAAAACATGTGTATTGGATGATGTTAACTGGTCGGACCTCAAGCAGCTGAAGCGTGAAAGCAAGGGTAGTCAAGGAGTGGATTCTTCTCTGATAACCTTGCCAGCCGAAAGCCATGGTGGGCCAAATTCCCTCTTCTGTTCTGTTTTTGTTTTGTTTTGTTTTCAAAAATTTAATCCTTAATGACATTTTTTTTTCTGTTCTTGAATTCATTTGTTTGACTATCTTGAAAATAAAATAGCTAGAGATCAAAAATGCTATGTTGCAGGAACTGAAGTGTCTGATCAAGAAATGAACGAAGATATAAATTTACTGGACGAACATTCTTCACATGAATCTTTGGTTGTTTTCAAGGAGGATAGAGCCCTTGTGGAAAGTGAGGTCCAGGTTGATGCTGCTGACAGTGAAATGAATCACCATTCCTCAACTTGGTTTTCAAATCAAAGGGGAGCCGTTACAGACTCTAATGGGGTTAAATCTAGGCTGGTAGAGTTTGAAAGTAATGTTATCAACATGGATGAGATAACTTCTAGAGACAATGGTCATTCATTAGCTGATCAAAGAGATCTCACAGGTGAGCGGTGAGTGAATTTCGTTTTGATTTCATAAAAAAACTGTATTATGCTAATTTTGTTTCTCGTTCTGCCCACAGGTGCAATCTCCGCCTTCCTTCAATCGGAGAAAGAATTGGAGACAGAGCTACCAGTTGGTGAAAACACTAACTTCATGAGTGATGATGCGACGGATGCTATAAGCAGAACTCCTTCGGGAGAGGCTCAGATCATAGTGGAATTAGAAGATACCAATGTCACTGCTGCTGAATCTGTCAAGGAGGAAGGTTTTGACATTAATAGATCTAGTGAAATTACTGATTTGAAGAGTGAATTACAAAATTTCCTGAAGAAAGCTGAAGAAATGACTGCTACCGATGTCTCACATAGTGAAGGGATTCCACACACAGAGTGTTCAGTTGAGGCTGCTGAAAATCAAGAGAGTGGTGCACAATCTCATTCTGCTACTGCTAAAACCGATGCTCAAAAGATACTTGAAATCCAGCAGAGCTCTTATAGCAACACTGTTACCTCAGGAACTCCATTTGGTGGACCTGCACCAGGAAACCAATGTGTGTGAAAATTCTTTACTTTACTTCTATAGGTACAAGCTCTATAGAATGCATAATTTTTCACGGGTTGCTTTTTTGGTCTTCTTTTTCTTCATTGCAGTTGAAGATATGTGCAGGGCTGAAGCTGCTGATGCAGCAGGAAGAGGGATGTTTGATCAAGAAAGGAGTGAAGATCCAAATCCAGGAAATGAACACTGTATTCATGAATCTGTAATAGTATACGTGGAGAATACTGGATTGGTGAAAAATGCTGAAGAGAAAAGGATACATGATTATTATTTTGAAAATGAGTCTTCCCCGTCCTCAAATAGAACAGGTGCTGTTGATGATTCTAACTTGGTTGAATCTAGAGTAGTAGGTTCTGAAAGTAGAGGTAGCAAAGCCGTTTGTTCGCAGATAGCTTCCTTGGCTGATGTATTTTCTTCTGCTGACCATGCTGGTGAGTGACTCGATGTGCTTTTGATGTTATAAATAAACTGTAAAAGCTCAAATTTTGTAGTTACTCGGTGCTTACTAATTTGCAGGGAAAACTTCAAGTCGTATGGAGCTTAAGAAGGTATTGGAGATGCAAGAACCTTCTGGAAACATGAACTCTATGAACTATAATATGAATGCTGAAGGAATCAGTACACCAGTTGTGGAGGACCAAATAAAAGGGAAATTAGAAAATGCCAATATGACTGTTGCTGACTCAGTTGAGGAGGTAATGTTCAATGATCTCCTGAATGAACTTGGTGAAAGTATTGGTTTGAAGAGAAGATCAGAAACTCCCTTGAAGACATCTGAAAAACTGAGTTCTAATATGTTTTCTAATGGAGAACAAATTATACTCACAGAGAGTTCTGTTAAAGCTGAAAAGCAAGAACATAGAACTGCAGTTGACGTTGCTGCAGCAATAAGTGGTACACCAAATACTAAAGAAATGAAGAGTAGATCAAGAAGTGATACTGCTACTCGCATAACTTCAGTTGGACTTGTACCACAAGGCCAAGGTGTGCGGAATTCATTTTTTTTATTAGTTAAGACATAAAATTCTGTGAGAACATTTCTGATTTTATCTTCATTTCAGTTCAAGATAAATTATACAGTGCTGAGATTACTATCAGTTTGATGGAGGATGAAAAGGAGAAACAGCTTCAGGATGATATCATTATGGGTGAAATAAAAATCAACCGTTTCTGTCCTTAAATAAAACAGGTTTTATTGAGGACGCTTTGGTTGAAGTTGCAAGCAATGCTAACAAAGTAGTTTCTTCTAGGACGACCTATCTTGCTGATTTTTACCCTTCAGTCAATCTAACAACATTTTCTGGTGAGTTTGTTTATGATTTCATAATGAATGATGTCATGTTGATTTCTTAATTTAAAACTTTGTGATTGATATTTGCAGGTGAAACTTCAAATGAGTTGAAACTGGAGGAAGTATTGGATTTAGAAGAATCATCAAGGACTGAAAATGTTGTTAACTATACAAGTGACAAAATTGAAGGTAAAGAGGTCTCAAGTCTTGTTCCAGAGGATCATAGTTCAATGCACTTAGAAGATACCGACATAACTGCGACTGAACCAGTTCAGAAGGTAGTCATCCAGGAAAGTGATAAAATGGATGTTAAAGGGGTTACATGTCCTGCTCAAGAGGATCAGAATTCCATGCACTTAGAAGATACCAACATGACTGCTGCTGGATCAGTTCAGGAGTTACTTATCCGGGAAAGTGGAAAAATGGACGTTAAAGAGGACACAAATCTTGCTCCAGAGGATCAGAGTTCAATGCACATAGAAGATACCAACATGACTGCTGCTGGATCAGTTCAGGAGTTAGGTATCTGGGAAAGTGACAAAATGGAAGTTAAAGAGGACATAAATCTTGCTCCAAAGGATCACAGTTCAATGTACTTAGAAGATACCAACATAACTGCTGCTGAACCAGTTCAGGAGGTAGTTGTCTGGGACAGTGACAAAATTGAAGTTAAGGAGTACTCACGTCTTGTTGAAGAGGATCAGACTTCACTGCAATTAGAAGATACCAACACAATTGCTGCTGAACCAGCCCAGCAGGTAGTTTACTGGGAAAGTGAAAAAGATGAAGTTAAAGAGGTTACGATTCTTGCTCAAGGATACCACAGTTCAATACACTTAGAAGATACCGAGATAACTGCTGCTGAACCAGCTCAGGAGCAAGTTTTCTGGGAAAGTGACAAAATTGAAGTTAAAGAAGACATAAGTGCTGCACTAGAGGATCAAAATTTAATGCAATTTGAAGATATCAGCATAACTGCTACTGAACCAGTTCAGGAGGTAGTTTTCAGGGATCACAAGAATGAAGTCTGTGAAAGTGGTGGTACAGAGGATTCTGAAGTTTCCTTGAAGAAAGCAGAAGATAGAGGAGCCGATGATTCTTCTGGAATTGGAACAGTACAAACTGAAAGTTCAGTTGAGACTAATGAAGTTAGTGAAGCCACTGGTGAAAAGCCAGTAACGGCAATGCAATCGATCTTAAGCAGTCACGATATAGATTTGATAAGCCCCCTTAGACCTCAAGTAGACAGCAAAGATGTCCAAGGTACCTGTACATTTCACTTTTTTTCATTTCTTTTCAGAATATTGAAATGCCGATAAGAGTGTTTTATTTATACTAAGATCAAGGCAGATGTCTAATTGAATTTTTTTACCATACACTTACAGGTACAACTTATGGAGTTGAAACTGATCTGACCAATGCAGGATGTGCAGTGCCTGGTCAGCTAAACAATGAAGAAAATGTGAAAATAGTGGAAAATGAAGACACAATAAATACTGAAAAGTTTGTCAGCGGAAAAAAGATTACTGATCCGAGCTCAGAAGGAAAATATGGGGCAAATGCCATTTATCATCCACTCATGGAAAGTAATGACAGTCAATGTGCAAAAGATGAAAAATTGGACGTATCACATGGAAGCTTTGACAATGTTTCTGGTGAAACACAGGAGAAACATATATTAGATGAAGAGGGAAATCCTGTTTCACCAGAAGAAAAGGGTAATGATTTATTAGAAAGCGCTTTTCACGCTGATGTTTATCCACAATGCCAGTGCGATAAGATTTTCCATTTTTTTTTTGTTAAAATACACTGTACTGTTGTTTGATCCTGTGGTAGATGAAAAAAATTATAGAACTTAATCAAGCTTTCCTCTGCTTATCTATCAATGACTTTTCTTCTTTCTGACTGACAGAAATTTGTGAGATATTGCCCGTCAACGGCTGTCTGCATGCCATCAATGACATGCAAGAAAAATGTGAGGCAATTCCCATGGATACGAGAAATGATATTCCAGCAAATACCTTGCCTCAACATGCAATGGTGCAGTTGGATGATGAAAGTCAAGCTCTGAATCAAGGTGTTGAAATCAGAGAAGTCAATCCCAGAACTTTTAGTGGTGCCACTCAAGCTTTGCCACCGGAGGAATTGACTGCACCTATCAATTCAGAATCTTTTTCAATGAACCCTTTTGATCATGTGCTGGTGGATGGAGACACGAATGCTAGTGGTGAAAGAGGTGTTGATCATCCTTTTATTAATGGCTTTGCTGCAACCATGGATAACAATGGAATCAGTGTAAGCGGTGAAACAGATGTACAGGAAGATAACATTGTAGAGAAAATAGCAATATCTCCCCTGAAAGTCGAGCTTACTGACTACACTAGAGTCAATGTGGATGCAGAGTTGTATGACCCCGATATGAATGTCACAGATCAAATATTTCAAGAAACTAGCGCTTCTGAGTTTCCCAGCACTGAATATGCAGAAGAGATGGCAAATGCACCTGTAACTATGGAAGTTGAGAACAATGATGATCTTGATGATCAAGGTGAAGAGGTTGGACTTGAACATAATTGTAGCTCTTCCTTCGAAGTAGATGGTTTAACGTCAACTGTTGACCTAACTGTGGATAACATTTCGTTGGTTGGCACATTGGAGAGCAATTTAAACGGTAGCCATCCACAATCTGGAACAAAAGTTGATGATCCAGACATAGAGGATAGTGATGCAACAAAACAATTAGACACTTCCTTCACCTTTGAAGAAGCTGGGGTAGAGGATGGTGAAAAAGCAATCTCCACCATTGAAGAAGCTGGGGTCGTGGATGGTGTAGCAGTAATTGTTTCTCAACCGAGATCTTTACATGGTGTTGAAGAGGAAGATGTCTCATCATCTGCTAATACGCCTTGTAGCAAGCTTGAAATCAGTATTGGTAATTCAAATATTTCATGCTTTATTTCAAATACTGAGTTTTGACTGGATGCAGTTGCGTTTTTTAACTAACTGTACATCACCTCTCTCTCTCTCCGTTTGTTTCAAATTATATGACTTAACCTTTTCTTTTTCCTGTGGCAAAGCAGAAAAAGAACATCCACAAGCTATGGATGACATCGATGATGTGATGGGAACTGAAATCTCTACTAAATGCGAAGGTATAGTTGTTAATTGAATTGAGCCTTTAACTTCCACGACTCATCTTTTATATACGAAGGTTGTAAACTTTTCATCCTTGAGAGGAGGTGACTAATTGCTGGGTTTACTTTTTCATGATCATGATACAGTTACAAGGGAGGAAAGAGATGAGTGCCAAACCAATTCCGGAGGTTTTAATTATGTAATTGATAGTACCTTGGAAGAAATTGTTGGAGCAAAGTCTGATGATTGTGAAGGGTCCATGAAAACTGACATAGAGCTGGATGGCATTGACAATTCAGGTGTGAACCAATCTCCATGTTTGGCTGAAAGGAAGAATTATAACCTAGAGACGGAGGAACCAAATGCCTTACATTTTCCTGAAATCAAAGATGATGATTCCTGGGAAGTTGATAGCTGCAGTAAACTGAACATTGTTTCTTCAATGAAACCTGAGATGGTGGTAGATTGCGGTTTGGATGGTAAGTACTCATTCATTCCCTTCATTTCAATTACTGATTGGTAAATACACAATTTGTGTCCACTAATGATATTAAAATGCAACAGAACGTAAACACCTAGAGAATCCCGATGAATCAAACATCTTCACTAACATGGAGATGAAATTGTTTTTCGGGGTTGAGGATGAAGTTAAAAATTCAGATGCAAAGGCCCGTTCTAGTAATGATGTTGCTTTAGACATGTCCATCACAGAATGCAATTCAAGCGACATTAAAGAGGATATTGAGGACACATATTTCACAGTGAGGAAGGATGTTCCTGAAGATACAGAAGAAACAATGGAGCTGAGTAACGACTTGTCAGGGCTGGATGCAGCAATGGCAGATAAATCACCCCTTTTAAAGGGTTCAGAAATTGGCAAAGGTTAATCAGTTAATTTTGGACGTTAATTACCACCACACACACAAAAAACATTATGTTTGGTAGTGACATGCAGAAAACATTAATTTTTTTTGGCGCATAATTTCGTTGCTTGCATTGAGGACTGATAAAAAAGAATACAGCTAATTTAAGCATAGGTTAAATGAGTTTATGTTTTACTGTGTTGCAGGTGAGGACAGTGAAAACGCAGCAGCCTTCAGAACCGAACTAAATTTGCTAAATGCAACTGCAGGAAAGGAAAGGAGCAAGAGTGTGCCGGTTAAGCAATTGATTTCTTCCATAATGAAAAGCAAGAGCAAGCCTGGTTTGATTCAAAGAACACCAAAGCTACCGATATTCCATGACATGAAGGAGAACGAGCGTAGCAGCAAAAGGGAGCAAATTTCCAACCAAACAACGCCTAAAACAACATCCAAGCTGAGGCTGCCGCTTCGGCGCATCTGAAACTCAAAGTATTAGACATAACCGTTTCTTTATGCTTGTTTAGTTAGAACAGTGACATTTCCATGACAATAAACAGGCATTAACGCAATTTGCTATGTACAATATAGGCATATCTCGTGCATTATTTGTTTGTAGAATTGTGAGAACTTTGTAATGTTTGAACTTCGACTTGGCGTGTGACTTGCAATTATACCCATAATTCATGGCATTTATGTAAGTTCCTTATTAACAAGGGGACAATATACATTATGGATAAAAACTACAGATTTTATTATCTTCTCTTAGATTACAAAGGACTTTATGAAATCAATAACTTCTGATCCACAAAGTATTTAAAGAATCAAAATGGAGTAAAACTCAATACCAACAAATAGGATCACAATTCTATGTATGTATCTACAAGCACCTTCCAACATGACTTCTTCTGCTCACCTTTTACGTTGTACATGAGGACAACCATGTTAAATCGAGGGATGTCGTCTTCATCTTCGACCAAAATCACAGCAGATTTATGCAATTTTCACAAATCCTTTCTTCGTTGGACGCAAGACATCTAATCTTACTCCTTTGTTCTCCTTTATTGTATTTTTAGTCACAGTTCAATCCACACACCTCTAAAACAATGCCTCCTTTTGATATAAACGGGTTTATTCGAGCCCACAAAAGAGAGAAAATTGATGCTAAAAGTATTGACCAAACCACAATAATGGTGGGAAGCCTGTCTTGTTTCCCCATCAACCCCTTGAGGAAGGGGTAAAGATGAACGATGACCCAGAGAGCAAAGAACAGTCTACCAAATAGGGGTCCCCAAGAGTCGTATCCATTTGAGATGGCATCATAAATCCCAACTATGACTCCGATTATGTTGATGATCAACAATGTCATGGGAGGAATCAATAAAGATGTCCACTTGAATATGTACAACTCCGAAAATTCCCCATCATCTCCTCCTTTCGATGTAACAGTAAAGTTTGTGTTAACACCTGCTAAAACCTTAAGCAGGCTCTGGAAGAGCGCAAATAGGTGCGATGAGACGCCACCGATCACCCAGAACTGCTCATTTCTCCACCAGTCATGTATTCCGACACCTCCCCACTGCATTTCTAGGATACTAGTCACAGCTATGATTATGAAGAGAGACATGAAAAGGAGACTGGCATAATTACTAATCTGCAAATAGAAAAGTTTGTATTAGCTAAAAATTTGACAAAGCCAGATAAAATGCAGCATCCAGATTTTTGTAATTCCCTCAGTATATCAAGCAATATTTCGACAATATTATAGTTACAGCCGAAATGGAGGGATTGTTCATATATGCATAGGACAAGGCTATTAGTATGCTTCCAGATATCATATGAGCTGTTCTACGATGTTGAGTGTTGACAAAGAGCTGTCCTACAAACAGTTTGAAAATGACTAGTCCTAGCTGATTGTTTTTGAATAATTGATCCCAAAATAATTACGTATGCATGTTAGAAAGATATGCTACTGAGAAATTCAGAATTACCTCAGGGACAATAAACTTTCCGGTAAGAAGACAGATAGCCGGCAGTGTACAATATACGAGCAGTGGAATTGACGTCAAAGGGTACACAACAGAAGCGATATATGAAAAGCGCTCCAAGGATTTCAATCCACAACCATACCCGTACCATAATGGGCAATGCCTGCTCAAGAAAATCTCAACAGATCCCAAAGCCCAACGTAGAACCTGGTGCAGACGATCAGAGAGGTTAATAGGAGCTGAGCCTTTAAATGCTGGTCTTTTCGGCATGCAGTACACTGATCGCCAGCCATGGCAGTGCATCTTGAAGCCTGTTAATATATCCTCAGTAACGGACCCATATATCCATCCCACCTGGATGATGATAGGAGTTGATGAGTATTATTATCAAAATTCAATCATTCAATTCAAAAGACAAATTTAATTTATTAAGTTTGGGACAGTTTCGACGTACTTCCTTTCCCCAATCTGTTTTATCTTCATAACCACAACTGATGACATGAATTGCTTCTTTCAAGAGTGATGCAGTGGTTGCTCCCTTTGGGATTCCCCCATAAGTGTTGAAGCAATGAAAACAGGTGACTGACCAAATTTCTTCTCGAATTTGATTTGTGGCATAAGGGTCGACTTCTAGTTATCTATACCTGTGATACAAATGATGGCACTATAAGTGATAAGGCTCTAAAATAGTTGAATGATCTAGGTTTGCAAAATATATATGTAATATCAAAGACCAAACTCTGATGGGGACAAAATGTCTGAAGGAAGAATATTCCAAGATTTTGCAAATGCATACTGGAAGCAAATAGAAGAACAATAATTACCTTCAATTCCCTCTTCGATATTCTCTAGAGCTTGTTTGTGCTTTGGAACCTCATTTTTTCTTCTTATCAAGGGACTTCGATTTCCTATTCTTCTTTTTAGATCGGAAACAGCAGCAGCAGCAGCATTTTGGCAAACAATTGCATGTCTTTCTTGGAGGCTTTTTCTTGACAGGGGCATCGTATCCATAGAGTGCCTGCCACCTGAAGACACATCCAGTTCCAACATAAATAGGTCCTTGAATCCCATCCAGGCCTTTCATGTTGATCTGTTTTTGGAAAAGAAAAAAAAAGTAACAATGCCATCTCCTTTTACAAAGAAACGTATCCACAAAACTAAAGTTTCACAAATCATACTTACATAAAAAAGACAACATTTCGGTTTGAGTATCTATCATGTCGGTCAATGCCATCGAATCTTTGAGGAAACTGGACATAGCAGATTTTCTTTCCCGAAATAGGGTCCATCATGAAGCACATGGCTTCACGAAGAGCCTTGCTGTTGTTTATGTAGTGATCACAATCAACATTTAGTAGGAAAGGAGCATTGGAGATGACAGCAGAAACGCGCACCTTCATAAATCCGCCAAAACTTATTACAATCAGATAAAAACAGACAACAGGCAGATCAAAGGACATGCCCAGCTGAGACTGTGTTTTGTGAGTGCACAGCTGCATGCTTGAGATAGAGAGAAAGAGAGGGATATACCAAAGCATTCATGGCCCCAGCTTTCTTGTGGTGATCAAATCCGGGTCTCTTTTCACGAGAAACATAAATTAGACGAGGTAATTCATTCCCTTCAAGGATTTAAAGAAAAACAGCGCACCTGGATCATTCCAGGATGGTCCCTGACATTGTTTCCGGGCCATGGAGTCCCATTGCAACCAAGCCATTTATTCTAACTATGAACAATTCATATTCCCTCTGTATCAACAAATTAGCAACAACGGATATGAAACATCATGTCTTGAAACCATTGGATAATCCGTTTTTCGAACAAAAATGCCATGCATAAGAATAAAGAAATAGCAGTTATATAAGTTGATGTTTTCTTTTTCCGGAGGCTGTCTGCTAAAATTTTATGCTTAAGTAATGCGATCTCTCAGTTGACACTTGGTTCTTTCATGCAGTATGCAGGTAAGCTAGTCAAATGGCAGATGCTTAGCAGCAGCAAACATATTAATATTACGAAAAACGTTACAAACCTTCATGGCCCGGCGTTCCCTAACAAATGTTGGATCTACTTTATCTCTCAAGTAGTCAACTTTCTGAGCAAAATACCATTCTGGTGCTCGAGGTTCGATGCTGAACTTCTTACAAAATGGTACCTATTTTCTTGCAAATTCAGATGTCTCAGATAGAGCCTCAAACATGAGCATGGCAGCACCATCATCAGAGACATAGCAAGCTACTTTATCAACAGGATAATCTACCGCAAGGATAGACAGAACTGTATTTGCAGCGATAAGCGGTGGCTCCTTCATCGGATCAACTGTACTCACAAATACGTCTACAGAAGCTTAGCTCAGATGGGTTCCCTTCTTTCTCATACCTTAAAAAATGGGAGAAAAACCAATAACATAAACAAAATTAAAAATAACTAAAACTGAATTCCCCCTCTGATATGCAGAGAAGTTTAGTGTGAGTACAGAGGTAAGGAGAGAGAGGAACCAGATGCAAAGAGAAAGAGAGTGGGGAAGGGAAGAGGAGAAAGGAAGATGAAATCACCTCAATGCTAAACGATCAAGGTATGTTTCCCGTTCGATTGGGCACCATTTCGGGAACTGATCCAATATCCATGATACAGTAAACCTTATTTCACAAATGACTGAAATAAGCCAGAGAACGTAAGCTTCATTCACGGGATGCAGAATTCTGTAGTGAAAAAACAGCATCAGGATGGCAAGCCGGAGTAGGATTATTATTCTGTATGGATTTATCTTGCTAGAGGGTATTGGTAGTTTCCGTGAAAGTGGTTGCCTGCCTTCATCCATCCATCCATCCTATAACAACACATAAATTTATAACTTTTAGTCGTGAATGTGAAAAAGAAGGTGTTAATGAATCCATAAAGATTAGCCTACAGTGTATGATGCATAGACCTAAAATACAGTATAAAAAACTTTTTCAACACTGAAAAATGGTGCATTCATTTGGTCGCATCGCAACATGGAAGTAACATATATTAAAAAAGGATATGAACTGTGGAGCCTACAAAAATAAATCGTCATTTCTCATTAGAAAAGAAAGCAGGGAAAGAGTATTCGCTGTAGAGAAAAGCAACAACTATGCATATGTCATTAACCGTAAATACCCTAAATGACTAGCAATTCATGCTCTAGATGGAGCGGCAAGGTCTTCTTCCAAATCACTTGACAATTTCTACATTTTTTTCAATCCAAAAAAGGTGAGGAATCTACTAAACAAACAGTTGCAATAACAAGCTTTTAGACTTAAACATGCTCAGACAACCAAAAAGAATTTCAGAGAATAAATGAACGCACATAGGCAAATCAGAATCCTCAAATTCATCTCCATTGTTTCCTTCATGCCTAACCACCTGGAGTTTCTCATTCTGTTTATTCTTCCAATCCTCCATTCTTCTCTTCCATGCAACAGTTCCAATCCCGTACACTGTCAAATCTTTTTTAGGATCCATTGGTCTAGGTGGTACTGTGATATCAACAACACAAACTATGTTAAGTGCTAAAATAGAATGATGTTTAACAGACAAATTCAGATGTACTTCAATTATCTTTCGAAATTAAATTACAAGTTCTAATACATTTCTACCATTCGTATGAAAT